CGTTCACAGACCGCTTCAACAGGAAATATTTTCCTCAGTCAGCTCAGGATGAACTCCTACGTAGATTTGTTGAGCTTAAGCAAGGAGGGCGAATAGTTGATGAGTACGAGGCCGAGTTTTCTTCTTTAAGCCGATATGCTCCTCACTTGGTTACAGACCGTACGATTAGGAGGCATCAGTTCCAGAAGGGTCTGGACAAGTACATTAGGATGGCTTTGGCAGGTAGAGCTTTGGCGACCCATGATGCGGTGCTAGATGCAGCTCGCGAGATTGAGAGCGTGCATAAGGAACCTGAAGACCCACATGTGATTCGGAGCAGGACACCAGTAGTTCCAGATAGGAATGTCGAGCGTCCTCCTCAGAGGAAGCAGCAGAACCCGTAGAAGCAGCAGCATTTTCAGCATCAACCATTTCATCAGGCTCATCCTTATCAGCGTCCTGAAGTGCGGTCTCATAGCCAGTCCCCGGTGATGTGTTCTTATTGTGGCTATCTCGGGCATACACAGCCAGCGCCTTCGTTTGTGCTACACCTGTGGGTCCCCCGACCATCTCAGTCCGAACTGTCTGCAGAAGCAACATGTCCATTTTCCACCTCCTCCAGTTAGGGCAGCTCTTACAGCTCCACCTCGACCTTCCCTAGTAGTACCAGCTCAGCAAGGATCCTACCCCCGAGTAGGGCCTCTTCCCCCGCAGAGGCAGGTTTTTCAGCAGACGCGAGGGCAACAACCATCACGACAGATATTCATGATGACGGCCGTAGGAGCTGAGGCGAATGATCAAGTCATTACTGGTAATAGTTATTCTTTTAGCTTTGTTTGCATATAATTTTCCTTAATAGTATTGTTTGATGATATTATAATAGGATTTGTTTATGAGTGCTAGCTTAGATGTATTATTCCTTCTACACTAGATAAGGGTTTTGTTTCTTCCGTTATTACCTTATCACTCTTTGACTCTAAAGCTTCACATTGTTTCTTGTCTCGTCGATTTGCGAGTATCCACTCTCATTCCATATCTCTGTCCTTGAGTTCTTATTTTAATTCTAAGGACGGAATTTGTTTTAAGGGGGGTAGAATATAAGGATCATGAATTTTGATACTAGTTAAAATAATTTTCTAGTATTTTAAAATATTTAATTATTATTTTTAAAAGTGTATTTTATTTTCTCGATTTTCTAAAATTTTCTATAATTTTAAAAAAACTAATTTTATATTTATTTATTAATTTTAATAATTATAAATTAATTAGTTACGGTGAAAACTTTTAAATTAATATTTGTTTTATTATTGTTATTGTTAATTTTTGTAAGATTTATTCCCTAATGATTCTTATTTTTCCCTAATTTTTCTCTATTATTTTACTAATTAATCCTTATAATTTCCTTAATTTTCTCTCATTTTGAACTCCTACCATATTTTTTTCCCTAATTAATTCGCTAATCAAATCCCCTCCTTTCTCTCTCCAATCTCTTTTCAAATCCGTGATATTTTGTCATTCAATATTCAACGTACACTCTCTCTTACTCTTTTCTCTCTCCAATAATATCCCTCAAATCCAGCTCATCCTCATTCTCTCTCCAATCACCCTCTCTCTCCTCTTATTTCTTCTTCCCTCTTGTTCTCTCTCAATTCCAGAGAACCCAAAAATGAAAAAAAAAAAAGAAAACCCCAACCCAACTTCCAATCTGCATGCCGTGACGCCAGCCATATGCTCGCTCCTCACCCCGCGTCACCGGTGCCTTGCTACCCCACCCGTGCCAGCCAACCCACAGGTCCAACAGGCATTCCCCTCTCGCCTCCTCTGACGACCACCCATCACCCAGATCGCAAAACGTCCAGCCACCAGTCCCATCAGCCTCCTCGCCGTCGACCCCAACCAGATCCGTCCGACCGCCAGCTCTCCCCAAGCTCCGACGCCAGTCCGCTCCTCGAGCTCCAGCGCCGTCCTCGCCCTCCACCCGTGCTGTTGTCCTCCACAACAATAGCCCTTACACCTGCTGCTTCCCTCCGTCGACAGCCTACGCCAAAACCCAAGCCCTTGGCTCCTCCAAGCGCCAGATCCGAACTCACCCTCTCCGACAGCTTCTTCTCCGACCATTCCGAGATCCACGACCTCCCTCATCATCACCACGAGCTCGTTCTCCACCACTTCGCCACCAGCAGCCCCTCCTCTCCGTCCCCTGAGATCCGTCGCCTGAGCTCCACCCGTCGCTGCTGTCCGACCCCCTGCAACAACCCCGCCTGAGCCACCGTCCTCTGTCAGCCCTAAACCCATCGTCAACGCCGCTGCCTTCATCCCGCTCCAGCCACCGACGTCGCAGTTCAGATACACCACTCAATCAACCTCAGATCCGCTGTTGACTGTGCCGTTCAGATCCGTTGTACCGCATCCGTAGTGGTATCGCCGCCTCGTCATCAGATCCCACGGTCTCGTAGGCAAGATCCTGCTTCCCTTGACTTGTATTTCCATTATTTATATCTATTATAAATTGATCGCATAGAATAGACTGTGATACGTTATAACTTGCGTAGGATTGTTGACTAACGATACTATAGGATATTGATTTCTGTTGTAGTGATATTCGTGAAGAGGAGTATGATAGGTATTTTGAGCCGGTTGTGATGAAAGGATATTTTGACAATTAGATTTTGATTAATTATGATATGTTTTTGGAAGAAAGAATGTTTCTAAGGATTATTTTGAATTATTATAGTAATAAATAAGTTAAAAGAGTTATTTTGGAAAAAGGATTATTTTGAATTATTAAGAAATAAATTTTAAGGATTTTATTTTGTAAAAGATTATTTTGAATTAATAAATTAATGTCATGAAAAGATTAGTTTAGAATTAAAAGGATTAATTGATTTATTATATATATATTATTTCATTATATTATAATATGCGAATGTTACATGTGTTTTCCACATATTACAATGATACCGACACTTTGACACTCTTATTTATACACATAGTATTTAACTTGTTCGATACTGTAACATGATTAGCTGTAGTGTATATTGTGATTTCTTGTGTGGGATTGCTTGGCATGAATAGCTGTGAGGAAGTTTGTTGCTTTATAACTTAGTTATCCAATAGGAGAGACTGTACGTGAAGACGACTCCTGTTAAAAGTATGATTTATAAGCGTGCTTCAAAGCATGGCTATACTCACTCGACATCGATATCCCGATGTGAGAAGTCCCGAGTTCCCTCGATATCGATATCCCGGTATGAGGGTTTCCTTGTTTGGATTATTTCACTCGACGTACTACGTCTCAAGTTATAGGTATTTAAGTATTAATTCCATCTAGCTGTGTGATTTGGATACTTGGATGATTACCCTGTTGGCTAGCTGCGTGATCTTGACATTTGGATGGTTTTCTTAGATTCTTCTGATGATTTTATTCCAGTGTTAGATTGCATTTAGATTATTAGTAATTCATTTGCATGTTATTATTATTATTATTATCACTGTTTTTGCTTTGGTCGTTCGATCGTTCCTATTTCTCTCTGTGGGATCTTGCCATGTGTCACACACACTGACGTACACCTATTTTTCTCTGGTGTACGTCAGATTTAGGAGATGAACAGCCTCAGTTCGGGATAGTACAGGAGCCAGAGGATTTGCAGCAGCAGTAAGGTCTTCTAGATGGATCAGAAGAACAATCTGAAGCTTAGACTTTTTCTTTTTGTAGTAGTTGATGAACGCTAGATCTCTTTTGTAGAACCTTACTTTAGTCTGGTGTTGGATTTAGTTGTTTTAGTAGTACTTTCCTTTTATTTCTGTTGGACTATGTATTTTATATTTTTTAGTTGGACCGTTTTGTAATAAGGGCGTGTTTGACCCAACTCTGTGTCTTGGATGATATTCTATTTGTGACATGTATATTTTCCATTCTGAGTTGTTCATTATATTCTTGCTATGTGTGATCGGGGACCTATGACTTCGTATATTATATTTTTGACGCTTAGCGTATTGGATTGAGTAGAAAGAGTTTATTATTTATTTCTACTCAACCCAATACATCACGGGCTTGTTCACGTTCCGTTTCCCCGGTATTTTGGGAAGCGGGGCGTGACACTTTTATGCGTACCGATCGCAGGTGTCCGGCTTGTCTCTTATATTTAGGAGGTAACACATGTGGCCCGTTATAGGGTGGCCAGTAATGACTATCTACAATGGGATAAAAACACTGCTTGTATGAATCTCTATAATGGATTGATTGATACCACTCAGAAGCGTATGTGTAATACAATGTATTTGCACCCCCAAATTGCTTGGTTTTAACCTCTATAACATGTGAACATGGTAATTTTTATAATTCTAGTATGTTACAAGTGCATGCGCATTGTGTCCCTCATAAATTGATGGTGTAATTATGACCTGATTGTTTGTAACCTTCCATTCATCAATAGCAAATCTAATAATCTTCGTTGATCTTGCCTGCTTGACACAAGCTCCTACAATCTCTTTATTTTTTGGTGTCAACAATGTCACCCACTTTGCTCCATCCTCTCGCCGCTTGACAAAATAGTGATTTACTCTATAAAATGTCCTCGCAACCAACACATTTATGGACATTGCTCGAGCCCCCTTAAGTACCCCGTTGAAGTTTTTTAGAACACTTAGTTGTCATCATGCAAAACTGATTCCCTTCATCTTTACTTAGTGCCCACCGGTTGACGTAATCATTTCCCAAACTACTCTCAATCTAGTCATGTGCAACTTGAGATGCTGCCTTGATTTGATCTCGTATCCGATCATACACACATGTTTCAGGTGTAACACTCGCTTGCTAAAGAAGGTTTTGTAAATGTATCTGACCAAAGCTCTTTTTAAAATTAGCTCTAATGTGTCGAAGTAATAGCGGGGGTTGTGATGAGAGCCAAATCTCCTATACAATGTTCTTGGAATACCTTTCATCCTATCGGATATAAAGTAATTTTCTTAGGAGGAAACACATTAAAAATATATAATTAAATATAAGAAAAAAACCACTCCTAATTTTTACTATTCTCGACATCCACAACTGCGAAGGCCAAAGGAAATAAGCCACCATCTGCATCTACTCCTATAGCAACAAGTAATACACCCTTATATTTACCATATAAGTGTGTGTCATCAATGCTAAGAACTGACTGACAAAATTTAAGTCCCTCGATCAAAGGACCAAATACCCAAAATACAAAGGTGAATTGATGAACTCCCTGATTGATCTCTTTGGTTATGAGTTTGTATTCAGATCCAGGATTGCTTCTTTTGATCGTATCAAGATATTGAGGTAGTGTCGCGTAAGACTTCTCCGAGTCACCAATTATTTTTGTCATCGCAATTCTCCTTGCATTCCACACTTTATTATATAATATTTCAATGAACTTCGTATCTAACACTCTCTCAATTATGTTATCGGACCTTAGTTCAAGTTTCTTCTTTAATTTTGGCATAATCAACCGTGCTATGTAAGAGGCGGAAGCACCACTATGATCTTGCTCGAACATTGGATTGCTACATGTGTGAACACCACAATATTCTATAATCCTAAAATACCCATTATGTTTCTTTCCGACAAATGCATATAACTTCCAAGGACATGCGTAACCAGCTTCATTTCCCTCGGCATGACCTTTCCTTTGTATATTCATAAAATAAATTAACTCATAACTTGTGCCATTGCTTTTAATTTGCTTAAATTTGACCAAATTTTTGATTGAGTAATCTTGAATAGCATCAACTAATTGGTCCTTAGTCTCGAATAAATCACAAACTCTGAAAGGGACGTCATCATCTCCTCTATGAGTTGAACTTTCGCCAATGCGCATATCTTGTATTGTGGAAGAACGAATCCACTCATCATCTTCAAACTCGTCAGGGGGTGGTTCTTCGTACTCAACATATTCATTATTAACATAAGTCTCATCGGGCCAATCCGGATTCTCTTCATCATCTTCGCTCACAAATTTCATGTTATCAATTGGTGCACTATCTTCATCTTCACCTTCAGAGGCGTTGCTTCTTTCATCATTTTCAACTCTTGCCCCCTTTAACGGCATCATATTTTCATAAAAGACTTCATTGTTCATGACATTTGACGTTCCACCGAATGAAGGTGCACCACTGTGATATTAAAATTGAGTCCGCTCCATTTCACTCAAAGAAGAAAGAAAACCATCAGACTCAATACCCAAATCTAACATGCGTGAGAATTCTCCTGGAGGGTTGAATATTTGGCACGAACTATGTGGCAACTTTTTAATAAACAATTCTACCGTTGGTTGCAAATTGCTCAAATTAAACATAATACTCATATGATGATCGTTTGAGATCTCAACTGCGGACGTTCTATCAAAAGTTATGCGCCAATTGCATATTATTTTTAGTCGGTACTCTAGTGGGTCAATTACCGTAACTCAGTGTAATTCATTAACAAAGTCACAGTAACTATATGATTCCGAGATCATTAACGGCGTCGTTACCCCTTCAACGTATGTTGGCATATTATTCATTCTATAATTAATTTTCCCACCATAAGAGCAAGCAATAAAAATTATATTGTTCAACCTATGCAAAAGAAAATTATATCATTTAAATGCAAAAAATTTAAAAATATTATCAATTATAACTCTAAACCCTAAATTACAGCCCTAAACCCCAATTACAATCCTAACCCAAATCCTAAACCCTAGAATTGAGCATTCTATGCGCTGAATGTTTAATTTCAACTACAACAAGAATAAATTTTTAAATAAACCACTACAAATAGAGTTCAAAACCTAGAAATTCGTTTTTTAGAGAAAGCCCTAGATTTCTACATATTAAAAGAGGAGAGAAGGAAGAGAATTACCTTATAGATCTTACACGATGAAATTCAGCCGAAAAATGAGGTTGAAATCCGAGATTGGTGGCAACTAAGGGTTTGGGGGGAGAAGAGCAACGGTTTTGAGAAGAGGGAGGCGGTTGGGAACGAAGGGTTGGGGGAGAGTAGAAGAGTTGGGGGGCGGAGTTTATATAGGGGGTGGGACCTAGAACAAATAGTTGGGGTTGGCAACCCCGGCTATTCTGTCCCTTAACCATTTTTTCAACTAGTCAACTAGGGGGTGTAAAGTCTCTGCTAAATGGTCAGGGTCCCAACCCCGACCATTTTGAATTAGAATTTCAAAACGATCAGGGTTCCTAACCCCAACCAATTTAAACGTGTGCTAAATTAGTCGGGGTTTTGAACCCCAACTAATTTGACTGGCAAATTGTCAATAGCGTCCAAAATAGTCGGGGTTGCCAACTCCGACTAATTAGAAACGTGTTTAAAAAAAATTGATCCATTTTCTAAACACAGTGCTGACATGATCAGAAAGTGGGTCAATTTCTATAATAAAAACTGAAGGGGATCGATTTAAAAAAAATTCATTTGGGGCAATTTTAAAAATTTCTTCTATCGTTTTATACTATTATTGAATAAAATGTTGATGCAAATTATGATTTGGTAGCATCGTTATAAAAGGTTCATATTTTTATTGTGGTTCTATAAAAACTAAAAATTTAGCGATGGTATTACGAAAAACCACTATATTTTATGGTGTTTCCTATAAATAAAAAAAACCCTACTATAAATGTTTGCAAGTTTATATTCTAACTATAAAATAAAGATAATTTGCATTTTAGTGCAATGAATTGAGTTATCTTCTTTCTTAACTTCAATGCCACAAACTTCATTTTTGACACTTTCCAAAACTTTCGTTTTAAATTGGATAATCTGCATTTCAGTGCCATTTAAATATAAGACATTAAAATGTCAAAAATAGGCTTCTTGGCATCACAGTAGAAGTTGAAAAGGGTGATATAACTTTATGACACCAAAGTGCATACCATCCTGTAATACATCAAAAGGTTTCTTCGGATGAAATGATAACTAGAACCCAATTCTAGTACAAAGCAGTTTTACCATTTGCAACTAAACCCTAAA